TCTTACCTCTTTTTTGTGCTTTCAGCGAACTACTTTTCTTGTTTATGTTACCATCTTTTCCAAGTTTTTCGCCGTCCTTGGGACGTGTGTTGTACTTTGTCTCTATACTCTTGTATATATGGGAAACAAAAAGGACTTTTCTTGGAAAAGAGAGTTGTTGGGCCTAGGTGTAAAGGCGAGGAATATTTCTTCGGCCAGGCCATGCACAACACCAGCGACGCGACTATGCGAATATATTTCGGGGCGTCCTGTTTTCTTTAAAACTTTATTGGGTTCACGAGGGAAGGACATAATGGGATGGAGACGACGGAACGGAAGATAAACGGACTAGAGTCTTATGTAATAGAAACCATGGTCCTCTCTTCCTTCATATATATATACACACATATATTCACACATAAAAAGCTGTAAAAGCGAAATATCAGTCAAACACGATTAAACTTAGGTTCCCAGCCAGCAACAGTTGATTCGCTGGTGCAGATGGTCAGCAACACGGCATTTGGTCGCGTGCTACTCTCTCCACAACTTTGGGAGCGATGGTTTGACATAAAATGCGGGCGCCCTGGGACGGTACTTTGTGTAGTGGGTAATACTACGCAAAAGCCGTGAGGCCTAGGAGCCACATGCACCGCGAGAGCCTTCGGGTGTCGCGGGGTAGTCAGATTCGGACCAGTAATACTGGGTTTTCCTTGTCTGCCTGGGAAAGGAATTGTCCTTGTGAATGGTCGCATTTTTACCTGGTCTGAACAGACGCATCCCATTGAGGTCTTTCAATTCGCACATAGTATATACAAAGGCATAAAATATGGTGGACGGTGACAATCATGGCTAGATCCCAGTTCGTGACGGCTCTATTGGTCTGACAGGAAATGTTGTTCGGTCGCATTCTACGTCTTAAGAGAGGCTGTAGTGACTACAACATATAGGCGAGCGTTTAAAAGGGCAAGGCGGACATATTCTTGTGTAGAAACGGGCATAAAATGAACACAATAAATGGAAATGAAAATGGAAACGAAAATGGAAACGAAAAGGAAAGGAATAAGTGACAACATGGAGACACCAGTAGATGGCACAGCGCGGGATGTAGATCTACTACAGCCAGGGCAGGCCATGTGAAGGACCATAGGCTGGGAAGTCTCGCCCACGCAAGCGCCCACGCAAGCCGCCTCGAAACACGAGCAGCCACAGAGGCCACGGGTTGGTCCAGATCTACGAGGCGCAAAAGCACACGAAGAAAATCGCAAGCAAATTGACTGCAAACGTCAAAAGGCACAAAGGAGATCCGCAAGTCGCAGAGGGCAAAGGCAAGTCGACCCGTCAATTTGATCCGGCGGCGCATTCGGGTGCGGCAAGTGAGAATGCGAAAAGAAAGAAAAGAGCGTAGAAAAGCCTAGAACAGGCCAAAATCTTAGGCGCCACTGCGGTCAGATTTGGAGCTCCGACGCTTCCGCTCGCTGCAGCGATCACGTATCCCGACCAGGCCGAAACACCGCCTCGACGGCTCTTACACATGCGCACCCGCCCATTTTTGACCGCGATGTCTCTCCTCTGAAATTCTGAGACTGTTTTTCATCCACCTCGCACTTGTTTCATTCCACATTCCATTACTCAGTGGTCTAACTTACGACTTACCATGGCGTAGCGGAGCTGGCTGTGAAATAGAACACGTATTGAAACCTCGAAACGTCGAAACGTGGAACGCCCAAACGTCGCAAAAGTCAAAAGATCGAAACGCAATAACCTCGTCGTCGCGATCATCTCCAACCTCGCTTTCTGCCTCTCCCTCGTCGTCTCGTGTGTCACCTCGGTTTTTGCATCGACTGGTCTATACCGAACGACCTGTTCGCACCTTCCCCATCAGTCCAATTGCGCCAGCCTCGCCTGGAGCCTCGCCGCCGACTCAATCTCATCTTATTCACCCCCCACTTCATTTTGTAGACCCTCCACCTTCACATACCGCCCGCCATGTTGGTAAGGCTCCAGTCCAACACTGCCCGCATGTTCCTCATCCTGGCCATCCTTCTCGCCGGAGGCTTCCTCCACTATTTGTGGAAGAACGAGGCCGCTCTCTCCGCGGCCTGGATTCCTGATGCCGGCGCCCGCCTGTTCGCCCAGCGGCCCCTCGGCTCCCCTCACTCCGAATCCTACATCAACCACTACAAGCTGCCATTGCGCACCCGCGGCCGCAACATTGTCGATGCCGCCGGCCGCCGTTTCAAGCTGGCCTCCGTCAATTGGTACGGCGCCAGTGACGAGCATTACATCCCGGGTGGGCTGGACGTGCAGCACCGCGACACCATTGCCAAGACGATCCGGTCGCTCGGGTTCAACTCGGTGCGCCTGCCGTACGCCGACGAGGTAGTGATGCGCAATCACGAGATCCAGGTGCCGCCGCACCTGGTCGCCGCCAACCCAGATCTCGTGGGCCGACCGCCGCTGGACGTCTTTGAAGCCGTCGTGACCGCCTTGACCGACGCCGGGATTGCCGTCATTGTCAACAACCACATTACGAGCGCCACCTGGTGCTGCGGCGCCGACCCGTGCGACGCTGGCTGGGCCAACGACCACCTGCCGGCCGCGCTGTGCCGCGTGCGCCAGACCGAGAACGACTGGATCGCGCACTGGGAGACCCTGATGACGCGTTTTGTTGACAACCCCCATGTCGTGGGCGTCGACCTGCGCAACGAGGTCCGCGGCCTCTGGGGCACCATGAGCTGGGACCGCTGGGCCACGGCCGCCGAGCGCTGCGGCAACCGTTTGCTGCGGCTCAACCCGGACTGGCTCGTGGTCGTCGGCGGCACCGAGTCTGGCAACGACCTGTCGGGCGTCGCCCGTCGCCCTGTGCGGCTCGACCTGGACCACCGCGTCGTCTATTCCGCCCACGTCTACTCCTGGTCCGGCTGGGGCAGCCGTGCCGGCCGCTACGCCCAGCGCGGGTACGCCTCCTTTGTCGCGTCCATGCGCCGCAACTGGGCCTACCTGGTCGAGGGCAACCTCGATCCCGTCTGGGTCGGCGAGTTTGGCGCGCCCCATGAGCCGTCCGTCGGCGACGCCAACTACTGGCAGAACCTGCTGCGCTTCCTCAAGTCCGTCGATGCTGACTTTGGGTACTGGGCCATCAACCCGCGCAAGCCCGCCGCCAATGCCTCGGAGACGTACAGCTTGGTCGAAGACGACTGGCTCACCCCGGTGCTCGACTACCGCATGCGTGACATGGCCGAGCTGATGCAGCTGCAGACGGACGAGCTATAGGAGAGAGGGGGAAGGAGGTCGGACTGTTTTGGAGCCGTTTTGGATTGCTTTCGAAATTGTCTGTTTCGACGGGCGTCCTTTTCTTGTTTAAGTTTATCTTTTGGGTGTGCCATCTCCTTCCATGATACCAGGCACGGATCGCTAGTCATTTTTTTCATCTTTGCATTTTTTTTTTAGATTTATGTTACAATCTACCTTCGATTTACGTCATGCTCATATGCAAAACCAACTCCATTCCCCGACTTCTGCCGATGCCAGGTGTCTGCTTTCGCAGCCGCTTTCCGGCTCGAAGGCCTGGCAAGGCCGTAATTACCGCCCAAAGTATGGCTGAAAGACAAAATTGACTGGCTGGCCACCCGTCTAGTCAATGCAGGAAGGCACGTCCCGTGTCTACAGCGCATTGGTTCAGTAGAGGCGCGGGTGGCTAAACCAGCGCAAAGACAACAAAACAGTGAGAGTGCTAGGCAGGAGCACATAGCGGCGCCTGCGCTTTGCATGTGGGGGCTTAGAAGGGAAGGAGGGCGCATGCCGCCAGCATCTCGTCCCAAAGACAAAATGATACATTGTGCTGCATCAATTTTTGTAAGAATAGGCCGTCACACTAGGTCGTCACAACGGCTCTGGCCGCCTGCGGTGCTTATGACGAGCGTCTTACATTGTCACTTCTCATATTGCCCGACAACCCACTGGGCGTCAATTCAGGGCAAGCGCTGCACGCCGTAATTATTATGTAGGGATCTAGGACCGGAGCGCCAAAAGTACTCTGTATTCTCCACAATATCGGCCTGTCGCTCCTTCCTCGCTGAGTCAAACGTTGCAGAGGCTGTATCTGACTTGTCGCCTACCAAACAGGCCGAGTCAAACGGCAGGAACAATCGCATTCACCACCCCGTTCTTTCCTTCGCAGACAATGGCCAGGATATAATTACGTCGTACATATTTTGCCCGTGATTCGCTCTCGCCAACTTTTCTGTCCTCTTTTCTTTTCTCAACTTGCACAAGCCAACATGCCACTCGCAGCCTTGTGTACACATGTCGCCACCAACAGATAGGTAGCCAACCCTAGCTCTACCTTTATCATTCACTGTCGCCAATCCAGTTACGCCCCCGCGTTCTCCCGATTCGTCGCATCTGTCCTCCAACATCTACATCGAAACAACAACCTCGCCCTTTTTTTATTATCTCTTTCTTTCACGACTCCCTCACTACGTGCGCACGCAGCTTGCTATATTATCCATCCGGTTATGGGGTAAGGAGAACGAACGGACAGCAGCCACCTACAGCAGACACGACTGACTGGGTATATATGGGCCACTTGCTCCACAGCGAACAGAATCCCCTTGCTTTGATTCCGGCGGCCCAATCTAGTCATCCGGTCCGGTCCTCGCGCACGCCACTGAATCCACAAAATACTGGTGACTGTATCGATTTGCGCCCAGTCGCCTTCTCATGCGCAAGCACTCTCCCAATGCTCGACCTCTCTTGCCAACCTCGATGAGCATCCCAACAAACCCCTCTCTGCCACTGCTACCACCTCAGATGCACCAACATCGATAACCCGACCTCCTGTTTGTCGTTGTTCCCTGATCGGCTCGCTCGCACAAACAACCGTTTCCCGATTGCCCGATCCCGGGCTCTCTTATAAAGCAGCCCATTCCACCCACCCCACGATCGTCTCACCTCACACCTATCTCTTACTGCGAGCTACCAACTCTCGAGAGGGTGCGCGAGACGCCCTGGCCCTCTAAATGGCCGACCATCCGCCAGCTCTGCTTCCACTCGACAACAGTCCCCCACCGTTTCAGTTGGTCGTCTCCCCGGCGGATCTTGCTGCCGATATCGCCGTCCCCGGAGATCCTGTGGACGACCCGCCAAGCACCACAAATACGTCCAACAGCTTGACGTCCACACCTCCCACCGCCCCGTATGTCCTAGCCTTACAACCATGGAACTATCGGACCCGGTACTCTACCCAGGATGTGCGCAGCGTCTGGGTGAAGCCAGTGACAGGCTACCAGAGCATCGAGAGACGAGTGTGTACTTCCAGCCTCCACTCTCCAACCATGCGTCAAATCTCAGGCTAACATATGTGTGAAGTTTGGTCCCAAGGCACGAAAACGGATATATGCACGTTTGCATGGCCAAATTGCCGACGACGACGAAGCTACTAATTTCCAAGACCAATTGTATGACAGCGATGGCGACGGCCAGTACAGCACGGAGCATAATGGGAACAACAACAGCAGCGAGAACCCCAACGGGGGAGCCATTAGCACAGGCTACGATAGCGACGGTGAAACCCCTGGCCATCACACCAACGCCAACAGCAACGAAACTCTGGACGCAGAGGACGCAGAGGACACCGAAAGTCTACATATACACGACCCCGACACGGAGGACGATACGCCGTCTGAAGAGGGTCTTCCACCCACCGGCGACGCGGAAGCTTTGGAGAATGCTTTCACCTCTCTGAATGGCGGCCCTCTCAATGCGGCCGGCGAACCAGGACCACCAGTCCCTCCAGTACAACCCAGCATACCGAGTGCTCAGCCACGCTTCCCACCCGCTCCGAATGTTTCTCGCGCACGCATGAATCTAACGGCCCTATCGCAGCGGTACAATGTGAGCTAACCGCGAGCCAACTAAGGTGGCAGGCGTCAGCCTGGCCGTGGCAAGCTTTCCTTACATGCTAACGTCCTGCTTTTTTCTTTTTTTTCTAGCTCTACTTTGCCGTATACCAGGCCGAGATCCACATCTTTCGACCGCAGCCAGCTCCGGAGATCCTGCATGGTCCTCTGCTTGTTCTGAAGCCTCCGCCAACGGCAGCGGGTCGCCAACTGGGTGGGCACATGAGCCACGACTTCCCTCACCAGGCGAACCAAATCAAGATTGGCGATTTCGGTGGTATGGAGATTGTCGTGCTTGCGTACGACGATGGCGATGTCGTCGCATACTACACGCATCACATTGTGGCCTATGTCGAAAATATCCCAAAACGTCGACACCGGGGTCCGCAGCGTGCCAGGAGGCTACCAAAGCCGTTCTTCCGCGAGACCGTCGGAGCCACCGCCTGGGGCCTGGCCATTCACTCGCAGTCTCGCCTGATTGCCGTGAGCTCCAACCTGAGGGAGGTCAATGTGTTCGCGTTTGCCATCCAGCCTCCAAGGGCGGACGATCCTTTGCAGCACAAAACCCAGCCCCTCGTGGTGCCCAGTGATGACCTCTCGCCAACCACGTACGCGGGGGCCAGCGCACTGGAGCTCGAGTCCATGCTTCGCCAGCGCGACCGGTATTGGCGCATTTTGCTCCCCATTGGGACATCGGGCCATAATATTCCAAGTATTGATTTCATCAGCGACCCTGCTGGCATCGCTGAAAAGGTCGCCGCAGTGGATATCCTTGGCAGCATTTTCATCATGGACATCTGGAAAGTCGGTAGCCGGCCACTCAAGATTGGCTCGCCCTACAGGTCTGGGTAAGTGTTTCTTCTGTCGATCCGTGTCTCTTCTTATCGCCACACTTGCTTCTAGTTACAACACGCAATTACTGACAGGCGATGGCATCAACAGCATGAACATTGGATGGGGTGTCATGGTCATTCCCATGAACATGTTTCTTCCCACGAACAGAATGCCTGCGCCGTCAGACCGACGTGTGCTGAATCGATGCCTCTTCCCCAACATTGACGGCACCTTTTACTTCTCGTACCTGAACGATCCTGCCCGGAAGAAGCCGAAATACACGCCGACTGCCATTGATACGTCCGAGCTCGATACGGAATCCGATAGCGATAAAAGCATGAGAGACGATGTCGATGATACGCAAATGTACGGGAGCGGCTACGAAACCGAAGATTCCAGCGACGACGATGACGAAGAACACGGACGCGACCGTGAGAACCGTGAGCAGGACGGCGACGGTGGCATGGACTACAGCGAGGAAGACAGATACAGCGACGATTCTCATGTGGAAGACTCAACACCCTACACTCATGGGCGAACTGAAAGCACCGGTAGCAACCCGTTTGTCTTTGATCCCGCCACGATGTCAAGACACTGGGATGTTTTGTTGAAACGCAACCACTGGCCGGTCGTACCCAATATGCTGGATTTGAAGAAGGACGCCAGATCGCCTTTCCGTCTCGGCATGATTATATGCCCGAGCATTGGCGTGACTTGGAGTAGCAATAACCTGCAGTCCCTCATCGGCACACTCAAGAACGCGCGTTGGCGCTTGGCCCACACGCTTGAAGAGAACCTCCATGAGTTCCAGGTGCCTCAATCCAAAGAGGTCACGGACATGGCGCGGCGGTTCTTTCTCATCCGGACATACTCACAGACCGTCGAGCTGCTCCGGACCGACCGCACGGAGACGCCCTTTTACATACAAAATGTCATGAAACCGCCATCACGACTACCATTTATCCTGTGGGACATGGCACACGACTTTTTCCGCTGCAGCCTACTGCACTGCATCCCCGAGATCAATCTGGTACTGGTAGGCAACATGTTTGGTCGCGTGGTGCTCATCCGCCCGCTGAAAAACCAGCAGGCAGGTTCGCCATCGGCCCATATCAACGCGCCGGACTACGCCTTCCGAGTCGAATGGACGCTGCCGCTGGCCCGCGACGAACAACAAAAACTACGTCCGCCGTGCTGTCTGCTCGGCATGGCTGTATCTGCTGTCCCTGAGCCTGGCTCTGGTCGATTCGGCGTCACAAACACGCGCACACCAGACCGGACACAACGGTCAAGGCGCTGGCGGCTCATCCTGCACTACATGGACCACTCCATCTTCCAATACTACATTGAGGAGACCAAGCCGGGTGTCAAAAAGCTGAAAGTGCGTCCTTACTAACCCACGGCTGATGCAAAGAGGACAAACTATCGATCTATTTTTTTATTGTTCATGTTTTATTTCGTTTTCATTATTATTTTACCCCTGCTCTTTAATTCGTCTAGATGAAACATTTGCACAACCGGCGTTTACAGAGTTTTTGTTTAGGGGGGGTAGGGGGCTGTTTTTGTTTTGTTATTTGAGCTGCTTTTGCGTTTTGCGTATCGATACCTTGGGTCATCAAAATTGGGAGCATTACAGGCGGCGAAACAAATTTGGCTACTAGTATTTCTATTGCTATTTTTTCTGTTTAGGGACAATGTATTTCAAATCGGCAAAATCGTCTCCGTGTCGTCCACCGGTATACTATCCTCGACCAAGAGACAGGATACACGGCCAACTGGAGATCTAGCAAGATCTTGCGGAACCGATACCAACAAGGCCTCATCGCATCCTCTTTGGCCGGCGCTCCGTGGGCGTGTTCGTATTGGAGCCATGCCGCTTGTACCCGGCCATTGACAGCGGCGGGACTAGCGACGGCGCCTCCGACGCCTCCTCCTTCTCTGCCGCCGCGTTCATCATAGCCAAAATCTCGTCTAGCCTGCGCATGTACGGCTCCCGATAGCCGTTGACCTGGATGCGGCGTCGGATGCGCTTGAGCTGGCTGAGCAGGTGCGTCTGGTCGTGCAAAGGTGCTAAGACGTCCAGCAGGAAGAATTTTAAGCCCTTTTCGTCTGACGGTGACGCCGATGATGATGACAACGAAACAGAACCGTCCGAGTTCCCGACCAGCCGCTGGTACAGGTTACGGTCGTCCTGGGTGGCACCTACGTGGGCGTCGCGGTTGTGGAAGAAGACGAGGGCGTAGAGGATCCAGACGAGGGCACGCCCGGCACTGCGGCGGGCCCAAGGTTCGGGAGGGCGTGGCAGCTGGCGCTGCAGAAGGAGGTGGATTTGGTGGACGGCGTGCTCGACGTGCTGGGCGGCCCAGGCAACTGTGACGCTGCCGCTGCCTTTGTCACTGAAGGAAGGCGGGTGAGGTGGTGCTGGCGCTGATGCAGACGTTGCGTCGGTGACCGTGATGATGGGTGTGGCAGCTGGTGCTGCGGTCCGCCTCGTCCGCGGGTCCGGTGGTGGCATCAGCAGTCGAGACTGCTGTCGCTGTTGGTGCTGTGTCGATAAACGAACTTCGAGCAAGGCCTCAAGAACGGCCTCAACGCGCTGCTGGATCTTGCGGAACGGGTCGCGTGCCTTGTCGCTGGGCGCGAGAAGCTTGAGAAACATGGCAAAGAACTCGTCGTTGGAAACAAGAAGGCGCAAGACAGTCCGCTGCAAATCGCCCCGCTCAACAAGATCACGAACGACCCGCGCCTGCTCGTCTTTTGCTCCTCGATGGCGCTGCTGCCGCCTTTGTGATTCGTTTTGGCGCTGAATCCCTCCACCGCCTTCACGTTCGCCTGCATGGTCACTGCTACGCGGGCCCTTTTCGATGCTGCCCGCCTTGGCAGCCCCCTTTCCCTTGTCCTTTCCGGGTGGACCCTCCTCGTTGTCCTCCATACGATCGTCGTCGTTGTCGTCGTCGTCGTCGCTCGAGCCTCCGTCTTGCTCCTCGTCGTTGTCCTCTCGTCTCTCGGTACCCCACAGCAGACTCTCGAGCTCCGGCTGGCTCTGGTCAAAGATCTCGGGAGCATATGTATCCACACTCTCGTCGTCCTGTACACCGTCCAGTCCGGCCAATATCTCGCGCGCCTCCCGCACACGGTGCCGATTCAGACGCCCCATCGACCCTGTCACTGGCGGTCGGCCCGCACCACAGTGCAGCGTGTTGGCGAGAATGTCAATGTGGAAGCCCGCAATCTTGGCATACGCATCCTGTCCACCGGCACCCATCGCGTGCGGGAACGCGGTGGCGCCGTCCAGCACGAGCGGCTCGTCCGGGTGGTGGTCGTGCAGCGTCTGCTTGGCAATCTGGTCCATGAGCCACACGAGGTGGCGGCAGGGCGTGCTCGCGGTGCCTGTGCAGTTGCAGCTGGGGCGAGGAATGCGGCTGGTCGGTGAGCCGATGCGGATGGTGCGGGGCACGACCTCCTGGAGCTGGAAGGCATATACGTCTGGGTCGTTGCTGATGCCGCACCACTCAATGACCATGGGCGGTGTTTCTTCGGGTGCCGGGGCGCGAAACAGCTCGCGGACGAGCTCTTGGGTCTCGTCGTCGAGGCTGTCGATATTGTAGGAGAGGTCCGTCAATGGCGACCGGACAGGGCCATCGTCTTCTTCGTCTTCCTCGTCTTCGTCATCATCATCTTCTTCATCATCGACGTCGTCAACGTCGTCAACGTCGTCATCGTCGTCATCGTCGTCACTTTCACTATCATTCTCTCTACTTTCGCTGTCGAGTCGACCTTGTCCCTTTTCTTCGTCGGAGCGATGTCGAGAGTGCTCACGCGACGTGGATGGTGCGTCCCCCATGGGGCCCCCAGGTGTGCTTCCGGAAGCACTGCCTTCACCATGTCCGTGTGATCGAGTAACGGGAGTCATGCTGGGTCTACTCAGCGACAGTTTGCTGAATTTGCTAGTGGGAGGATGCATTGGGGTTCGGAGTGTGAGATGAAGTGAAGTAGGCACGAAGCCTCCCAAATACCGTTGATGGTCTTGGTCCGGTGACTATATGGTCGATACAAAAAGGACAATATATGCCTTTTATTTTGTTTTACCCCCTTTTGCTGTTTTTTGTCTTTCAGCCTCACCGATCGGCATCATTGACACATCTTAATGTCAAGGCGACCACACACGCCTGGACATGCACTCTTTATAAGCCCTCCATGCAAGCCTCTCATCTCCACATGAACATTGCCCTCTGTCAAATGAGCTTTTCCTGCCTCATCCAACGGGCTTGGCCGTGAGGAAGGCAGCTAGCTAGCTTGACGTTTTTAATTCGTCGTTGTCATAGTTATCATAATGCAACAGGACAGTACTTACCACTTGTGGCCCCAGGATGTTGTTGATGGGAGTGGACGAAAGGAAGGACTGTGGGTCAACATGGATTCAGGTCGAGGAGGTGCCGTGGGAGGGACCCGAGAAAGCGGCCACATCCTCTTCCTTCTGGAGGGTGTGTGTGTGTGGAGGGAAAGAGAGAGAGAGAGGAGAGAGCATTGCTCCGGGGGTGTCATACTGCACACCCCTCTGCTACCCAAATGTGCACGTTGACAAAGAGATGGGGGCAGCCCCCAAATGGCCAATCCCGATCAAAAACAGCCGCAAAACTAACCATGTAAAGGGGGTGTGGTCTAATCTTTACACCGCTACCCGATACGGCGCGTCTGCATACGAGAAGATGGAGAGGGAACGCAAGGCGGCTATGAACATGGGAAGGGGCCAACAGGACGAGAGCTAAAAGGGCGCAACGACGCAAGTGTGCATTCAACTGTCGTATGTCTTTTTGCATCGACCTGAGATGTACAGAGTACAACGTATCTGCTTGAGTCGTTTGCGTCCGGGGTCATCAGTGTGTTCCTTACGACGTACAATTCCTTGTACTTTTGTCTCGGTGTCCGGAAATACTCATTCATGTCTGCAGAGTGGTCCTCTGCAAACGATGATGACGATGCCGAGAAGGGCGTTGACCGACGGAATCCTTTGGAATGCAAAATGGCGTCTGGCATATGCTCTAGTAGGCGCAGATGCCACAGCTGTCCATCTCTGAGAATCTACAGAGTGCCTTGGAGGATGGACAATGAGGTGGTGGCCGCCCAAGAAGGGGACCAGAACAGCCACAAGCGAGAGGCGCGGTCGAGCTGCCAGTGCCGGTCGCATCGAGAGGCCGGAATGTGTGAGAGCAGTGAGGAAGAGAGTGGGGACCAAAGAAGAAAAGAAAAAGGACGACAATGCGGTGTTGGTCTGCCAGTTCCTCCGTCTTTCACGATGTGGTCGTGTGGTTGCGATGGGGTGGATAGTTTGGATGGTTTTGGATGGGTGTGGGTTAGAGTTGAGGTCGGCGGCTAACAGACGTCATGGGTGCTGCCCTTCATTGGTCAATGGCTGCCATTGGCCCGTTGTTTTGTTGCGGGAAGGAGTGGGGTCAACAAAGGCAAGGAGCGGTGCAGTATTACGACTTTACGAACGAATCCGCAAAATGCGCCTTCCGCTAGCAGTTCCTCCTTGGTCGTATCACATCTATTTCTCCGTGCTGGTCATCCCTGGACAGTAAACATGCAACCCGAGTATGAATTAACAATTGTCATAACACCTTTCGACAGCCGGGTTTGGTCGGTCGTGCCTCCCTTCCTCTCTCTCAGCCTGCTCTCTTTCTCCCTCGGGAACGCTTAAGCAGCGCCCGTCCAATGACGATCCTACGCCCACCTCCATCCCGCCGTCTATTGCGGCGGTTCGTCTCTGCGACCCGTTTTGGCGACCAAGCTTGGCTACCAGCAAACTTGTGACATTCTGCTGCGCTTCCTTACGCCTACGGTGTCCACCACGTCTCCGAGGAATCTGCCCATGAATCCACGTTATCTTTTGCTCGGCTAACTCGCTGTTGGGTACGAACTAACTTCCTGGGGCAAAGCATGCCGCAATACGCCGCACGCATACCCATTGTCCATTATCCGCGATCTTTTGGCGCCAGGCTCGGCATGATGGATTGCCCGGTGGGACAGGACCGCCAAGGGACACAAAAGAGTCGACGTAGTGAGTTGGCGTCCGGTTGCATCCGCAATCGGAAACGGATTTATCCTCGTCTCTCGTTCCTGGTTTTCCACAGGACGGACATGTCAAGTGATGAGCGTCCGACGAGGCCCAAGAAGAAGAGGCCATTTCGGGGTGCAGAGCAGAGTCGGACAGCGAGGCAGACAAAAGGCTGGTCGTCCATGTGGGCCGCTTTACGTGCTATTCTCCTTTACCCCTATCTCACACCGAACCACAATACGCCAACGACATATATATCCAATAGACAAAGTGCCTTGTTCAGTAGTTCGCTATGCTTCTTCTAGAATGCGACTGTGGCCACCACAACGGGCCGCTGTAAAACAAAGCCCGATGGATCAAGGGGTGAGCAGGAGGTGTCAGCGGTGCTGGCAAGGAGGGTTTTCAATCGAATAAAATATGAATTTGAACAAGAGGAAAACAATACTCCAACGAGACATAAAAGCACAGAAGAAAAAGAGGCCGGCTGCAGAAATACAAACGAAGCAAAATAAAAATACCCACAAAAATAATATGAGCCGCATATCGCCCGTGTTCTTCATGCTCATCCCCTTGCGCCCAACCTCTTCCATCTTTACTTTCTTTCCCCCGCCTCCCTAGTCTCTACTGCGGCCGATCTGCTTGATATCGACTCGTAGTATAATGCATGGCAAATGGATGCAAAACTCGTTTCCTATGTAGTCCTCCTTTACCCTCACATCGGCCAAATACCCAGCCATGGGCGGCAGGCAGTAATGGCCAGCTCGAACACCGATGCTTTGCGGAAGATGGTGAAGTCCAGCGGTGATACAAACGATGCAGACCAGAGAACCAATGGCAAAATCACAACAACGACACACCTTGACGCCAAAGCGCAACCAACCAGGCCAAAAGAAAGAGCCGAACAAAAACAAGACAGTAGAAAAAGAATAGGAAAAGATTGTCATAACTCGTCAATCAGATTGGGATGGGCGCCGTATCCAGAGCGGTCACCGCTTTTTTTCCGTGTATGTATGCAAGGGTCGGTTCGGTGTATATGCGTATTAGTCGTTTTGTTCGTTGCGTTCAATTACTGAACACTTGAAATCTTCCGTGCGGCCGAGGCCATGGCTGTTGCTGTCGCGGCATTTCCACCGCTAGCGACGCGGCTGCTAGTCTTACGAATGCCAGTCGGCTGAGCGCCAGGCATCCGCTTTGTGCTGGCATGGCTTCCGCTGCGGTCCGAGCTACGGACCTTGGCCAGGACGCCCGATGCGGAGGTCGAGCGATGCTCGCGGCCCTGGACTTCCTGAATGGACTTGACGCGGCTGATTGATGAGCCAATGTTCTCTGCGTCAAAGGACGCGTCGTTCTCGTGGATCGCAGTGGTTGTCGTCGTCGTCATGGTCGTAGACGTCGCAGTGACAGTGTTTCGACTGCTATAGCTCGTAGACCGTGACTTCGCGTGGCGACTGGCGTCGGGGGAAGACGACGCAGTAGCGTTCGCCTTGCGGTGCATGCGCATGCGCAGGTGGATCTCTTCCTCCGAGTCGGTGCCCCGGCTGCCCCGGCTGGACTGATCGTCTCCACCGTTCTCCTGCAGGATGGCAAACAGCTCAGCCTCGTCGCCCAGTGTGACAGCAGCGGCATCCTCTTCTTCAACGGTGCCGGTTGACGTGCTATAGCTGCCCGTCTTGCTGCGCGAGTACGGGTGGTGACGGTCGGCACGAGCGCTCTTGCGCGGCTGGCCAGGGGTTGGTGCCGGCAGGTAGTCCTCCTGCGCGACATTGTTGCGCTCCTGGTCCATCTCGCTGAGAGGTGTCCGGCCCGAGGCCGACCGGTTCGGGGGTGTGGACGTCGACTGGGAGCGGCCGAGTGTGGCTTTCTGCATGGCGCGAATGGGCGTACTAGGCAAATTGTTGGGGTTGGCCGAGGCAGCGGCCTGTGCCGCAGCAAATTCGCGGCGTAGTCTGCGCTCCAGGCGCTCTTCCACCCACCACTCACGGAACGCACCCTGGTTCAGGTGCAGCCAGTGCTGCTGAGGGCCGACGACCATGCCGGGCCGCATGAAGCGCATAAAAGAAATAATCTCGTTGGCTGTAAAGCCGTAGCGGTAGATCAGGTAAGCGCCAATGAGGCAGCCTGTCCGGCCAAGGCCAGCTTTGCAGTGCACGGCAATGTTCTTCTTGCGGACTGTGATCATCTCGTGCGCGAGGCGAATGAACTTGCGCACCGTCGACATAGGTGGGCACGTGCCGTCGTCGAAGATCATATCGAGGTGCTGAATTCCGAGAGCCTCAAAGTACGAGGGCGAGTAAAGCTGCGAGTTGAGGCGAACGACAAGGCCAATGTTGCGCTCGGAGAAGTGGCGCAGCACATTTTTGAACGGCTGTGGCAGTGTCGGGTGGGAGTCCACGGCGTCCAGTGTCCGTGGCAAGGAGGCATACAACTCCGAGTCCTCCGTAATACGGGCCACGGGGGTGTGCTGGGGAGAAGCAAAGGCCAGGAAGTGGGGAGTGACCCAGTTGAAATCGCCATGTTCGACACGCTCAAATTGCTCGTATTCGGCCAGATCAAAGTTGTCCAGCACACAACAGCCCTCCTCCTTAGCCTTCCACACACCATAGACAACATCCTGAACGGTAATGCCGTAGTCGGCCTGGCTGTAGCCCGCGTCGCGGAAAGGCATCAATGGGGGGTCGACCTGTGCAAGCGGCGCTAGCGCCAAATGTGGTGGCCACGACTGGATAAGCACCATGTAGCAAGCGAGCAAGCAAGCAGCGTTGGCGCGGCCTGGAAAGGAGGACAACAGTTAGTATTGGCTCAAGATCTAGACAGCGTGTGCCTCTACAAAAACACAAAAGGATTGCGGGTTGTTCGCGCACTTCTTGGGTCAGCTCGGCTCCAGAAAACGACTGGGCGTTGTTGGCTCTCAGTGGCAGCCAGGATCTCGTGAAAGTGCAGGGCAAAGCGGTACAGGTGACCGACGTGCAGCGGGCCAAAGTCGTGGTGGAAGGCGTTATACAGGAGCGAATCGTCGACAGTGAAGTAGTAGGGTTCGGGCTTGGGTGCGGCCGACGAGGCAGCGTCGGACGCGAGGGCCCGTGATCTCTTGCTGGGCGACTTGGAGGCGGAGGCACTGTAGGGGAAGAGCGTATCGGCGTCGGGCGGACTCAGGTACGAGCCAAGGTACAAACGATCTAAAAGTGATGCAGTTAGAAGCCGCGAGAACAACAAAAATACCAGACAAGCGTCTTCGCCGGCTCATGGCAAAGAGTCTTACCGGGAAGGTACTCGATCACCTGCCCCATGTTGGGGTTCTTCGCCGAGGGTGCCATCACAGAACGAAGAAAGAGTGGTGAAAAGCTGGTCGCGTGCGGCAGATTCGGTGATGACAAGGCGTGAGCGACAATCTATCGATGTTGAGAAGAAGAACCGGGCAGGACGGCGACGAGAGGATGCCAGCGACTATGAGATATCAATGCGATGCAGAAAATAATGCGTGTCAGACGACAGAAGGTGGAGAGGAACGGTGAAGGGACGGAGAGAAGGAGGAGGGGAGAAGAGGAAAAAGAATGAATAAAAGGAAAGGCCGTGAATAATAAACAGAGAAAGAGAGAAGAACGAAACAAATTGCGATTCTGGACGACCCTGGGGATTATGTTATTGTTTCGCTGCACCGAGGTGGGGAAGGAAAACGGGACAGGCAAAAGGGAGGGAGAGTCGTTGTCGTCA